CTCGCACAACGGCCCTCCTTCGGACTCGTTCCCTCTGGTATGAGTCAGTGTATGCGCACTCATGCAGATCCGGCAACAGGCTGGTCTCGCGCGTACATTGGAACCAGCAGCTTTTCATGTTTGCTGTCTTTCCGAAACTCGATTGCAAGATAATAGCACTGTTGCAGATGGAAATCTGGTGTTGTCTGCCCAAAAACACTGCACTGTATTTAAGTTGATATTCCCAACTGTTCAGGGAACCATATGTCACCTGCGTCTGGCTGATGACACGGAGTCATCCGCAACAGGTACCGATGACATCTGTCGCAACGTGGCTGGGTCTTAACGTGGTGTAACAGTTTGTGTGCCTATTTGACCCACTGAGCTATACTTAGTGGTGCCCCCGGGCCCCCTTAGAGCTAGCCCAACCAGGTTGCTCAGTGCTTAGAGGTCGGACAAACTCAGTCACCTGCTCATCCAGATTAGGCGTTAGAAATGGGATCGCGTCCATTTCTGATTTGGTACCATCTCCGCTGTCTTGTGGACAAGGTTTTGAGCCAAAAGCCGTGGTTGAGGACACTAGTCGTCCACCTGTCTAGGTCCGGGCACCCCAGCAGTATCGCAGCCTACGTACAACCATGACTATTTCTCCAGATTTCACCTACATCCTGCATCGACCGTCGCGCAGATTATCAAGGGTCGCCATATCTGCTACACAAAGCATGGTGACTAAGCGGAAACTTGCTAATGCTGGCGCTTCCTTTCTTTCTTTTCCTCCTGTTTCTCTTACTCCCATCCCGAAACCCATTACTAACCTTCGTTCTATGGTTCCCAGCTTAATTGACAGCAGCCGAAGTACCACTGGAGTAGAACCATCTGCAACCACCTCCCGGCAAAACCCACCGGACGCCTATCTGCAACAGTCGGTTCTAATCTCACGCTGGCCCGTCTCCCTGTCGGCGTTCGACGTTCGCAGTCTAAAATAAATACGTTAACAGTCTGCACTCGCGCGCACGTTGAACACTGGTTATTGACGTGTGTTATGTGTCCAAAACTAGTATCAATGACCCTAATGGGGTTATTGAATTAACTGCACCCGGTTTTTCCTCTTGCTATTGGTTGCACGCATTCGGAGACACTGATGCAACACTCCCTCGTCAAGCTGGGGTAGGTATCATTCTCAGCTCCAAGGCTGAGTCATCGTTGGTTGATGGGATTCCCGTGAGCAGATGTGTGCAGCCCGTTTGACGACATCAACTATGGTTGATTACGAAGTATTACAAGACGTTTGTTTATGGATTCCACTTATGCCCTCACCGACAACATTTCTGATGCTACCAAGAACACCCACCACGAACTGAACACCCTGCTTCGCAATGTTACCAGCTCGGCGACCATGGTTCTTGCAGGGGATATGTATGCGCAAGCAGGTCACCTAGGCTCTTCAGGGTCTCATACATATATATATATATATATATATCCTAATTATGCACGCCAGCTAGAGATGGGAAACACCTCAGCTACTGTGCCGCAATACATAAAGGAAAAGGACAATAAATACAACAGTTGCATGCCAGCTTAGCTACCAGCAACGGATAGGCATCGTTCCGGTAAGCTACCAGCCGGCTACTAGGCAAAAAAGAAAAATTGTTTTACGATACGAAATGAGATCATAGGTGGAGTGGGAGGCTAAAAGGGATGGGGAGGGACAAAGAAACTCACAGCAGGAACGCCACTGAGCTCGGCTCCTTGCCATGTCAGCAAGCGTATACAGCCAAATGTGTTCCCCGTCTTTTGCACCCCAACCAGGTAGTCGAGACGCTCCAACCGAGGCCAGCTCCGAAGTGAGGGCCTTCATTCCTCTGAACCAAGTCATCGCTTGGCCACCTCTCCTTCCATCCACATCTTTGGTGAGCAAACAAAGCACGTCGTGGAAGTCGATGGGTTGGCATGCGCAACACGTTGCCGAGCCATCAGAGCCTGGTGCGTGGAATGATGGTGCTGAGCGGTTCAGTTCTTTTTCCTGTGCCGTAAACAAGGCGTCGAACACGGTCGTTGCTCACGCGGTGTTCCCACCAGATGTGAGCCAAACCGCGAAGGCACCGATGGTCGAACGTAACTAGCCTCTTGAGGTCCGCTGCTTTAAGCGGCCAGGTTTCGCAACCGTACAGTAAGGTCGAACGTACTGCTGTATTGTACATTCTACCCTTCAGGGCAAAAGTGATGTCGCGCCGCCGCCATAGGTGGCGTAGGTTAGCAAAAGCACCCCGAGCTTTTTCTATACGGTTGGTGATCCCGTCTTCGACCCCACGGGCGCTGATACAACTTCCCAGGTAGTTGAATTTCCGATCGACTTCTAGCTGATACCCACCAAGGGTCAGCGTAGGGGGCGGTGCAGACCAATCTTGGTCTGGTAGGGGCGTATACCAGTCTTGAAAAAGCGCTTTGCACTTGGATGGTGAAAAGTACATGCCATACTTCGACGCTTCAATCGCCAGGCGGTTAAGTGCAAGTTGGACGGCCTGCGGACCATCACCCAACAAGACGATATCATCAGCGTAATCCAAATCAACCACCCGACTACCTGGGAGTAGTTCAACCCTAGCGTTCAGCAAGTCTTCTAGAGCATTTTTGAGGACATCCTCAATGACAAAGTTGAAGAAGAATGAAGAGATAGGGCATCCTTGTCGAACCCCACTGGTGGCAACAAAGGATGGCGAAAGCTTGCCATAAGCCCTAACTCTACCCGTGTTCAGACTAGACAGAGCACGCAGAATGGAAACGAACTTCCCGGGAATACCATTCCTCAACAGACTGCCACAATGCAGTCCTGTCGACAGGATCGAAGGCAGCACGGATATCTAGGAACACAACAATTGTTGGCTTTTGATACACATAGCGGAGTTCGAGGATCTGATCGATGCAGCCGCGACCAGGGCGGAACCTAGCCTGTTCTTCTCACTGTGGTGATTTACGCGTTGGGGATAGCCTGCGAAAAATGATGGACACCAGAATCTTGCAAACGACATGAACCAAACTTTATGCCCCTGTAATTGGAGCCATTTGTGCGCAGGCCCTTTTTGAAGATGGGGACAATTGCCGACTCACTCCAGGATGATGGAACCTCCTCTTTTGCCCAGACTTCTGAGAACAAAGCGTTGAGTTCTCGAACCAGCCGGGAGTCCCATCTTTAAATAGAGCAGGAGGTAGACCATCAAGAGTGGGTGCCTTATAACGCTTTAGGCTACAGAGTTCCCGTCAGATTTCCTGGTGGGAGGATGAGTTGGGATAGTCCACTCGTCACCAGTGCGCACGCCAGGGGAAACAGATGGAGCTGGCGGCCAGGAAAACTGCGAGCGAAAATCTTCTGCCCATCGTTCCAACCGTCGTTGAAGATTAGTGATTAGGGAGCCATCTTCACTTATTGTTTCGCTTAATCCTGATCGGAAGTCTTCGGTGATTCTGATGAGGTTGAACGGCTTTCTGGTATTACCAGAGAGCTTAGCAAGTTCAAGCTTTCTAGCATTTTCACATCACCAGGTCTCACGGTCCTTCTGTAAGCTCCTACGCAACGCTCGATCCAGGGGTCGGCGTTCCTCACTGCAGTTGGTGTCGGCTGGGATCAAGCGGCGTCTGTCCATCAGAGACAAGGAGGCAGTAGTGATCCAGCTTTTCGGCGGGTGGAAAGCAAATCCACCACTGACATTACTGGCAGAAATTATAGCGTCTTTGATGCGCATCCATTGTGAATTGCGACCATTCTCATAGGATGAAGCAAGCAGTGTTGACAAAGAAGCCTGGTACTTGGCTAACGTCGCAGGATGTTGCAGATTTTCGACACTCGGTCGGTAGTGCGTACGTCTGGATGATACTCCGGAACGCGTGCAAATTTTGGCGCGAACCAGTGCGTGATCGGAGTCCAGACAAGTTGACCAGTACGGTCGGCATCGTCATCATTATACACGTTAGCTAGAGGTGGGGAACACCTCAGCTACTGTGCCGCAATACATGGAAAAAATGCAACTGGTGCAAGCCGGCTGAGCTACCGGTAACGGATGGGCATCGTTCCGGTAAGCTACCAGCCGGCTACTGTGCATAAAAAAAATTACTATGCAAAATTATATAAGGTTAAATAATGAGATCGTGGTTGGAGGGGGAGGCTAAGAGGGATGGGGTGGGACAAAAATCTTCACAGCACGAACGCCACTGAGGTCGGCTCCTAGCCATATCAGCAAGTGTGTCCAACCAAACGTGTTCATCGTCTTTCGGACCCCAACCAATGAGCCGAGACGCTCCAACCGAGGCCAGCTCCGAAGTGAGGGCCTTCATTCCTCTGGACCAAGTCATCGTTTGGCCACCTCTCCTCTTCTTCCATCCACGCCCCCGGCGCGCAAACAACGCACGTCGCGGGAGTCGGTGGGCTGGCGTGCGTAACACGTAGCCGAGCCACCGGAGCTTGATGCGTGAAATAACGGTGCTGAGCAGTTCACTTCCTTTTCCTTTGCCGTAAACAAGGCGTCGAACACGCTCGTTGCTCACGCGGTGTTCCCACCAGATGTGAGCTAAATTACGAAGGCACCGGTGGTCTAACGTAACTAGACTCTTGAGGTCTGCTACTTTAAGCAGTCAGGTTTCACAACCGTACAGTAGGGTCGAACGTACTGCTGCATTGTACACTCTACCCTTCAGGTCAAGAGTGATGTCGCGCCGCCGCCATAAGTGGCGAAGGTTAGCAAAGGTGCCCAGAGCTTTTGCTTTACGGTTCGTGATCTCATCCTCAATCCCACGGGCGCTGATACAACTTTCCAGGTAGTTGAATTTTAGAACGACTTGTAGCTGATCCCCACCAAGGGTCAGCGTAGGGGGCGGTTCAGACCAATCTTGGAGAAACGCTTTGCACTTCGAGGGTGCGAAGCAAGAGGCGACTCCGTGAATTGAAAAACAGCGGTTTGAGCACCAAGCAAGCTGTCGCGAAGAATCAGCGTGAGGTGTTGACTTGAAAATAAGCAAAGAGCGAACAAATGCTTGGTGACACACAGGATCGCTCCACTGCACCACCACAGCTACTCTCCAAACCGAAGGAATATGTGGTGAAGTTTCACTTTCCCAATCCACCGCCCCTTAGCCCTCTTTTATTGGGCCTGCACAATGTGCTTTTCGTCTACCCTGGTCAGAAACCGCTGTTCCGTGATTTGAATTTTGGTGTCGGTATGTCCTCCCGTATATCTATCGTCGGACCGAATGGTGGCAAATCCACTTTCCTCAAGCTTCTCACCGGTGAAGTCGAACCGGTTCAGGTCGAACACCGTGTCAAAATCGGCAAGTATGACCAGCACTCGGCCGATCAGCTGGACTTGACTTTGTCCCCGACGGCGTACCTGCAAAAGTTGTTCAATTTGTCTTACCAGGACGCTAGGAGTACACTGGTCGAATTCGGTCTGGAAGCACATACTCACCTTATTCCCAATGCGGATCTGTCTGGAGGTCAGCGGGCCCGTGTCGCCTTCGTCGAACTATCTAGACGAGCTCCGGATATTTTGATCTTGGATGAGCCGACAAACAACTTAGACATTGAATCCATCGACGCTTTACCTGTTGCAATTAACGAGTAAAAGGAGGTGTCGTCATTGTTAGTCACGATGAGCGACTAATTCGCGACACCAACTGCACATTGTGGGTTATTGAAGATGGCACAATCAACGAGATCAATGGCGACTTCGACGATTATCGTCGTGAAATTCTGCAATCGTTGGATGAAGAGCTGTAGATGATCTACACGAGTTGCTAATAAAACTTTAGGAGTAGGAGACAGTCCCGACACACTGGAACCGCTCCGTCATTGTCCCAATTTTCCAGGGAAACTCCCGTTCAGAATGCGGCAATCATAGAGGGATCAGGCTGATTTCGATTGCCTCTAAATTGCTTGCCTCTGTCATTCTCCACAGACTGACTGGCACTCGTGAAAGCCAGATTCGTGAAGAGCAAGCCGGATTTCGTCGAGGTCGGGGCTGCATCGACCACATCTTCACATTGCGTCAAGTGTTGGGGCACCGCCGTGTTTATTGGCGACCCACCGTCGTCGTGTTTCTTGACATAAAAGGTGCTTTCGACTCAGTTGATCGATGTGCCCTTTGGGACTGTCTGCTGAGGAAATGTGTGCCTGATAAATATGTAAACATTATCAAAGCGCTGTACGCACATAGCTCGGGCAGGGTGAGGGTTTATGGCAAACTCTCGCCACCCTTCAGTATCACCAGCGGTGTGAGACAAGGATGCCCGCTGTCACCTTTCCTCTTCAACTTCGCTATTGATGAAGTCATGGAAACAGCGTTCGCTGGACACGACGTAGAAGGTGTGGAGCTACTTCCTGGTGAGAGACTTCTTGACTTGGAGTATGCGGACGACATTGCCCTAATCTGTGACAGCTCCCAAACATACCAAGCAGCACTGGACCGACGAGCACTAACTGCCAATCGTTTTGAGTTATGTTTTTCTCCATCGAATTGCAAAGTACTTCTCCAAGATTGGCAGGGACCCAACCCTGCGCTAACGCTTGGTGGTGATCTGCTAGAGGTCTTTCAGGAATTCAAGTACCTGGGCAGCTATATTAGCACCCGTGGGATTGAGGATGAGGTTACGAACCGTATAGCAAAAGCTCGAGGTGCTTTTGCCAATCTCTCCACCTGTGGCGCAGACGCGACATTACTCTCGCCCTCAAGGGCAGAATTTACAACACAGCCGTCCGTTCAACTCTTCCATATGGCCGTGAAACCTGGCCCATCAGGTCGACAGACATGAGGAGGCTCGTCGCATTCGATCCTCGCTGCCTTCGCAGCTTAGCTCATGTCTGGTGGGAACACCGCGTGAGCAATGAGCGTGTTCGACGTCGCGTATTTGGTGCAGGAAGAGCGAGTGAACCGCTCAGCACTATTATATCACGCACCAGGCTCCGATGGCTGGGCCACGTGTTGTGCATGCCAGCACACCGACTCCCGCGACGTACATTGTTTGCACGTTGTGGGTGCGGTTGGAAGAGGAGGAGGGGAGGCCAAGTGATGACTTGGTCGAGAGAAATGAAAACCCTCACTTCGAAGTTGGCGTCGGTTGGTGCATCCCGACTGCCTGGCTGGGGTGCTAAGGACGGTGAACACGTTTGGTTGGACACACTTGCTGATATGGCTTGGAGCCGGCCCCAATGGCGTTTGTGTTGTGAGTTTCTTTGTCCATCCCCCTCCAACCACGATCTCACTTGTTAGGCATAATATGACTCTCTTTTACGGCAGCCAGCTGTTAGCTCTCCGGAACGATGTCCATCCGTTATGTATCCGTTTTGTATTGCGGCACAATAGCTGAGGTGTTTTCCACCTCCAGCTAACGTGTAATGATGATGATGATGGTGCGAACCAAAGCCCGAAGTGACGGACAGCTAGTGCTAATCTGTCCAATGCCGCTTGGCACGTTTGTGAGCTGTCACAGATTAGGGCAATATCATCAGCATACTCTGAGTCAAGAAGTCGTTCTCCTGGGAGTAGCTCCACACCTTCTTAGTCGTGTCCTGTGAACGCGATTTCCATGACTTCGTCAACAGCGAAGTTGAAGAGGAAAGGTGACAACGGGCATCCTTGTCTCACACCGCTGGAGATATTAAAGGGCGACGACAACTTGCCGTAAGCCCTCACTCTGCCCGAGCTACGAGCATATAATGCTCGGATAATGTTTACATATTTCTCAGGGACACCTTTCCTGAGTAGACAATCCCAAAGTGCATGTCTATCCACCGAATCGGAGGCGCCTTTGATGTCGAGGAATACGACAATGGTGGGCCGCCAATATATGTGACGGTGCTCCAACAACTGACGCAAGGTGAAGATGTGGTCAATGCAGCCAGGACCTCGACGAAATCCAGCTTGCTCTTCATGAATCTGGCTTTCACAAGTGCCAGTCAATCTGTGAAGGAGGACAGAGGCAAGCAATTTGGAGGCGATGGAGATCAGACTGATTCCTTTATGACTGCCGCATTCCGATCTTGAGCCTCCCTTGAAAATTGGGACTATGACGGCAGTCTTTTACGCTTTAGTTCCATCTGTAGCATATTGCTATGTGGTCAAGCTGAGACCATTCTTGTGTTTGAGAAGGCGGACGCTAGGTAGCAGTCTGTCTTTTCGAATGACGAAAACTTGTATTTGAAAGAAACAAGCGATGATCAGAACAAAGAGTCAGTAGTCTGTCTCCATTGTCCGATCTGCTGCTACCAAGGCCAAAACTACCCCCAGGATGGTGCTCGCTTGGTGGTAGGCGGCCCACTCGTGCGCTAAAATCTCCGGCATGAAGGACTGTCAGACGTCTTAGCGGAATGCAGATCATGTAGCTGTTGGTAAAAGCAATGCTTGTCTGCATCCGGGCTACAGTCTGTAGGTGCGAAGGCGGAGATGACAACCAAGGCACGCGTAACATCTCGACGCTTGCTTAACTCGTAGTCTGACTGCACATAGCCGATTGTTGACTATGATCCAGCCAAGCAAAGCGACCTCAGCCCTATCACTTAGTGCAAACCCGACACCAATTTGCCGGAAGTGGCGGCCCCTGGGTCTCCGGAAAGGCGCAAGTGGTATTTGATGTCAGGGTTTGCCGGAGATGTCATTCTGATGACGGTACTGGCTTCTTGCAACCTGGTTTCGGAAAGGCAACAGATGTCCACCGAGCGTGTCTCAAGCGTGCCGGCCAGACATGCTTGTCGTTCGATCTGCATCAGAGTGCGCACATTGAACACTGCAAGGCCGAATTGAGAACCAGGACGAAGGAAAGCTTGGGCATCGGTTGAGTGTGTAGATGTTGTGACCACCGGGCAACGAACACAACGTTTGGCTTAGAACTCTATCAGATGCGACCAGTGATCTGTTCTTGACGGTGACCGGTGAAGACATAGGTGCATTTGAAGAGCGGGATGTGGGACGATCTGTGTGTGGATGTTGAGCAGCAGAGACAGTGAAGCCAGTAGACATAGCAAGAGGGAAAGCAGTAGTGTAATTCATCCATGGTTCGTCAATGGGCATGATACTACCCGGTTGCCCAGACCGAAGTAGAGGGTTGTCTTAGGGGGTCCCACCCCGAGCCTTTGATCCAGCATCAAATCTACAAGGCAGCAGGGCGATATGAAGGTATCGCAACCCTTGGAGAGTCAGTGACCAAACAAATGGTTCATACGCCTTTAGGACCGCATAAGATCAGTGGCCCAACACACCCTTGAAGTACAATGCCTCTCAGGGACGGGCAAAGGGCAGTAACTTTATTTAGTGGCGAGTCACATCCGACACGTCGCAGTGTTGTTAAACGGACATATGTGGTTTTTTATAGGGAGAACGCTTGCCAGGCGAAAACCCACCACGTTCTGGAACACTGTTTCTTGTAAACGGCAGGAAGCGTATATTTGTACTTTACGTCCCTAAAACTGATAGTACACCTCTGTTGGGACGTAATGCCATGGTCTTATTGAACCTATCACCATGCGTCAGCCGGATGACCATTGCCAGTGTCAGCCATCATTCGTTACGTTCTAGTTACCCAAATCTCTTTCTTCCGGATATTGGTAGAGTCCCAAAAGCAATGCACCGCATTCGGTTGAGCGCGGATTACAAACCGTTCAACATTTCTAATCTTAGACCTGTACCGCTTCCCAAGCGAGAAGCGTTGTCGCAAGCTTTGAAAAATATGGTCAAGGAAGACTTGATAGAACCCATACACTGTTCTGAATGGGTTCATCCACTAGTTGCCACTTAAAAGAAACATAGCGCTATTCGTGTATGCATCGACCTTCGAGCGCTTAATCGACATATACTTGTGGATAAATTCCCTCTTCCTTCTATCAACGAGTTGATGGTTAAGCTATCAAACGCCAAACTTCTCTCCACGCTGGATATTCGCAGTGTATACTACCACATGCCAGTGACTGCAGATTGAAGACATTTGACTGTTTTCCTCACGCAAGGCGGTTTGTATCAATACAAAATGCTACCAATGGGCCTTAGTAGTGCCCCATCCGCTTGGCAGAAATTAATCACTCTATCGCTATCAGATCTAAAAGGATGTGTTGTGTATATGGAGGATAATTGTGTCTTTGGTAGTAAACCCACCGAACATCAGAAACACCTTCATTATGTGATGCATAGACTGAGTGAACTAAATCTCCGCCTGAATACCAGCAAATGCCAATTCGCTATAACGGAGGTCGAGTTTATTGGACATGTTATTTCTACCTGGGGTATTAAGCCTAATGTGCAGAACACCAGAGCCATTCTCGATTGTCCAAAACCATGCAACATTACGCAGATAAACATTTCTTGGATTTTTGTTCCTATTACCTTCGACATTTACCGAATTTTGCGACTATCACTGAGTCGTTATGAAGGTTGACGCGCCAATACCAGGAGTTTCGTTGGGCCACTGAACAAGACAATGCTTACATGACCATATGAGCGATGATTGAATCCACTCCTACGGTAGCGATCTTCAATGAGCACTGTCCAACGTTTGTTTCAACGGATGCTTCAGATGTTGGCTTGGGTGCAGTTCTGTCCCAGCTGCGCGAGGGCGAGGAGAAAGTGATTGCGTACGC